GTGTCTAAGAAGGACAGAGCTCTATGTGGTCACTGACACCTGGGAGGTCACCCCATGAAAAGGCAAAAATGCTAGAGACAGCTGCTTACACTGGGTAGGGATGTACACATAGCATCCCCTCGTGTCTACAGGCATCTTGTAGGGCTCAAGAGCCTGTGAGACTGATAACCTGCAGCCAGAGGAGCTGGACCAAAGGCTTTCCAGGGACTCCCAGCAGAGTCTGGCTCAGGAAGATTCGTGTCCCTGCTCTGTGTTTAACTCTGAAGGGTTGTCGCTGTGTCTCATAATTGCGCAATTTATCTCATGTAGTGAGACTCTTACGCTCAGAGGTCTTTGGCAAGGTGTCAGACCAGTGAAGCATTTCTTTTAAATGTCAGCCAGCTACTGCATGGGATGAGGAGTGAAAAGTAGGCAGCAATGAGCCAAAGCAGGGCAGACAAGCTTGTGGTTTTGAGTAAAACAGTCCCGGCCGTTGTGCCTCTCCAGACCCAAGCACAGAACCAAGGTAGAAATTTATGCATGCTTTTGCAGGGGTGGACTTTTTTGTCACCCCACTGGGGTGACATCTTCCAAGACTGCTCTGGACCTTCAACGGGTGCAGTAAAAACAAGATTTAATATCCTGTGCTCTCAGTGCGTCACTGGCCAGAGCTGTGTGACCCAGTGTTGCTCAAGGAGTTACTCACCAGGAATGTGTATGGGAGGGAGTCTCAGTAGGAACAAGACACTTTCACCCTTGAGGAAATACAGTTTGTTTATCCTCAAGATTTTATAATGACAAATCTGGTGTTTGCTCAAATGGTTTAGCTAAACTAGAAAACTAGTCAGTATATTTGGGGGTTGGGTCAAGCTAGCCAAGTCATGCTTCTAGCGCTGGGCATTTACGGTAATGCCACAGAGGTCTCTAGCACAGCACGGTCTGCTGAAGGAAAATTACAGCAGATCTCCTCTTCTCCTTGACACATATACATTTTGCGCGTGCAAAATACCGTGGGTTGTGTGGTGATCACTGTCTGTAGTGAGTGTGTGAGTGAGCTGCAGTTGGGTCGTCCCACACTGGTCTTCAGTGGGGTGATATGCACAGAGGAGGATGGGGAAGCAGTGTAAAGCACTTTGGAAATGAATGTTGAATTACTCTAGCGTTTCAATCGGTGGAATGCTAGAGATACCTCCATAAGGGGCATGCTGGTCCCTGTTGCCCATGTGCTAGTCTGTCCCATCTACTGGGTCTGCAAAATGTTCAACTAGAGGAACAACAGTTCAACAACTGATGTTGAGGAATGTGTTTTACCCCTGGGTTTTACTATGTGTAGCAAATGCAAAGCCAGCAGCAGTGGTGGGATCCTGAGCAGTCAGCATCTAGCAAAAGCTAGGGAGTTTCTCCTCCAGGGGCACGAATGCAAAGACATCAAAAAAAGGTCAAACTCTACTGTAGTGTGACTATATTACAACTGGGAGGGAAGCATTAAGCATTGTGATGTTTTGCCAGTGTTCATGAATAGTTGAGTCATGCTTTTTGTCTGAAACCCACCTTAAAAAAAAAAAAAAAGAAATGAAGCATTCCACTGATATTGAAATATTCTCTTGTAACATCCTGAGAATGAAAAGTTTCTAAAGTTTCTATCTTCTATTTAAAACTAACTTCTTCAAAAAGTCTTCATATTTAGAAGCAAATAAAAGTTGTCAAGGAATGATTTGACTTTTATCAACATGAGGCATTTAGGCTTGACCTCAACAAAATACCACCTAGCTCAGATGATCTTCTGTCATTCATTCCTGAAATAGATTTTTTTGAAACTGTGAATTTTTTATGAAATTGCCTGTGTCTGACCAGATTTGCCAGGGCACACAAATATTCCCACCCCTACCGTGGCTCAGTAAGACGTTGCATTTTTGAATGAATTTGTCAAATGGTTTATTTCCTGAAGGTATGAAGAATGTGTTTATATTACTCCATTGAACTGGTGCAGTTTCATCTTTGTCTGTTAATTGTGTAACTGGTCTGAGTCCAAAGACATTCTTCAAATTTTGAGTTCATAATACAGTAAAGGTCTACCCTGAAAAGAAAAAAAAGTCTTTCTGTTCCTTCTCTCGTATGTGTGAGAAGACAATGAAGACAATCAATCACAACGGATTGATCTTGGGATTTTTTATTTCAGTTCCTAAAATGTAGACAAAAGACTAGAGCCTGCTCGCCTTTATGACCATATAATCACATTGGAACCATTCCTACCCCAGGGCATGGCGCAGAAGAACTCTCCTTCTATATTCTTGCCTGGGAAATGTGATTTTACATTTTACTTGCATTGCATGTCACTGGATACTACAAGTTGGCAGCAGAAGTAAAAAAGCTATCCTAGCACATTATGGAGATCCCCTTCCCAGGGGCAAGGTGTAGGTGGGAAGGAGAAGGAAGTGAAAAGGCAGGAGGTGAAATCCAGGCTGGAGATAAGACCTTCAGCATCCAATCCCTTCAGGTCATTTAACCTGTTTCTTGCCTCAACTGAGCTGACCACAGCGAACTCAATGTATTTAAACTCTGCTTAACCCTCTAGCTCATCTGAGTAGTGGCAAGTCATTTAAGTCTAATGCCTTAAGTCCCCATAAATTACTCATGTATCTGAGCCCAATGTGGCCTGACTTGTTTGTACTGATAAAGGGCATATTGATAAGGGTTGTGATCAGCTGTGCCAGTGCTTTGGAGTGCAGATGTGTCACCAGCCAAAGCAAACTCTCCAAAGTCGGGCTGCTGGCACCAACCAAGGAGGGCTGCAAGAGGGAAAACAGAGACACCTACCTTGGGTTTAGCTGGTGGTTAAGTCAGAAAAGAACAAGCCTGGTCCAAGGTGCATTGGACTCAATGAAAGCATTTTCTGTTCATTTTGACACGCCTGTGCCCCCAGACCTCAATTGTATTTATAATACCCAAAAATGTTCTGTCAGGATAAATATATACATATATATATATATATTTATCATCAGTGTCTGTAGCAAAATGAACATAGGAAACTGTAAATAGCAAGAATTAAAAGAGAGTATCTTGTGGATGTTTACGCAATGGGAAAAGGCCATGGGAGTTCTGGTTTCTCACCTTGCCATCATGTGCTATAAAAGCAGGTATGATTAGGAGTTTGGAGACACTACACTGCACTGTGTAAACAATACTTTTTTTTTTCTTTTTTTTTCCCCCAAATTCTAAATATATGTTTGACCTCAATTAAAAAAAAAATCCATTGAAGCTTGTGTTTATCTTGGAGGCCTGAAAAACATTCTTATATAAACAATACTCATTTTATAGGCTTTCCTGTAAAAAGCTATTTAATTCTCGTCCTTCAGCACTTAAAAAACAGCAAAAGAACAAGACTTAATGTTTACAAGAAGTGAACTGGCTTGGCATTAGCAGTAGGAGTGGTCAACGCGCCGGCATCACAACTCTTAAATTACCCATCCTATAAATAGGCACTCTGCTTTGGGGAATTGGCATCATTTTGGGGGTTTAGAGGCTGTATTTTTGTTTAGGATTGTGACTGCATCCCCATTAGCAAGGGCAATGTGCTCAGGACCATTCTCTGGCTATCTCTAAGATGCCACAGCAAGTCCCTTTGAAACGTGGTGCGACCTGCGGTAGCTCCTTGCGGATCACCTGGAGCTTCTGGAAAGGCCTGTGGAGGAGACTTCGTGTGCTGGGTTTTTTTATTTTTTCGGGAAACCACATGTGTTTTGGCATATGTGTTTTTCACTAGAGATGCAAATCCACTGGAACTACTGGTGTGTGTCTTTATTTTTAAATAACAGTGTAATTGAAGCAATGGCTCTTCAGTTTTCTGAAGAAAATTCTCAATTAAAAAATAATAAGAATAAACAGCAGTGTCTTTTCTTCCCACAATTGCTCTGTCATAGGAAAACAATGCACTTTTCAGCTTTAAGAAACTTGTTGGCTTGTTTAAATCCCTGCTGGTCTTGCTGCCCACCTCTGGTCCAAGCACAGCAGCACTCGTAGTCTCTGCCCAGCTCAGCATCCCATGGGACCTCTTTGAGATGGAAGGCTCACCTTACCTACCCTTCTTGGGCAGCATCCCAACAAATGCCATCCCAACAAATGGCATTTATGCTTCGTCTTCCACAGTTTTCCCTGAGCTCATGAGCCGTTCTTGCTTGCCATTTTCTGCCTCACCAATCCAGCTGTGATCCCTAATCAATAAACCCATTGCGAGAGGAAGGGAAAAGAAGCAATTTCTCTTCCTCCCCTCCTCCCTCCTCCCTCCTTTTGCCCACTGCTGTTTTTGTTCAGCTGGTTTGAGTTATGAATGCGTTCTGTATTTTGTGGTTATCAAGGTCAGCCTAAGGGAATAAGCTGACTCACTGCCATTGAAACGGCTGCAAACTGTAATTCAAATATGGCCATAAAGCTGCAGCTAATTCAATACACGGGGACTCCATGTCCACAGGTCAATGCTCTGCCCTTTTGGAAATCTTGCCGTGAAATTTCTTGCTATGCAAATCCCACAGCAGAAACTGCAGCTGCTTCTGTTCTGAAGGCTCTTGGGTGGTGAGAAGTTCTGCCATGAGGAGAGAAAAGCATGGAAAGCAAGCTGTGAAATGCAGAAAACTTTCTGACTTCTTTTTTCTTTCCTCTTTTTTGTTCATATGTGTTTACAGGCTGCAAACTACTCTCCTTGGCTTCGGTGAACATCAAAGCATCTCTGTCTGATGGAAGGTATATGCCGGGATGATCTAATCCTCTGCAAACAAACTTTCTGGAAAACAAAACAGAAACAAACAAATCTGTTCTTTCCACAATCTGGTTTCTTTAATTTGTCTTGGTCCCATGTGGAAAACCTGATTTTGAATCTTGGTATTGGCCACCTCTAAATCTTCTGGACTGTGGAAGAAAAAGGATGAGTTTTCACTGAACCCTCTGTGGACAAGATTAGCTGCAGTTCACGGAAAGCTGAAAGCATTTTGGAACCACCATTAAAAAGGTGAAAGAAAACACTCAGTTTTGCCTTTTTTTAAGCCCACCTGGGGAAAACGAAACTTCTTCCCCCATAGACAGAGGTTTGAGGATGGGTATGTTGAGCCTAAGTCCTTGGTGCTAACAGGCCAGCATTCCCGAAAGCCCAGCAACATTTCCTTTTTGCCTTACTTTGGATCCTACGTTGTCTTTTGGCAGCTGGGACAGCAGAACCAGGGCCAGAAAGATGGTTGCCGTAAGGAAAAGGAACGTGAAAATGTTTACGTTTGCCTTTCTGCTCATCACGATAACGTCGTTCCTGCTCAACTACAAGCATCAGGTGACCATGACCACCTGGGACCTTAAGCACATCATCATGCAGTTCTCTGAGCAATTCAGGAAACTCATCAAATACCCCAGAAGACCATGCAGCTGCACCACATGTATTTCGGAACGAGGACATTCCCTCTGGTTTGATCAGAGGTTTAACCAAACTATGCAACCTTTCCTGACCTCACGGGATGCATTGATCCCAGAAGATAGCTACAGGTGGTGGCTGGTAAGTGCATGAGTGTGACCCCAGCACGATGCTCCCAGGGAGAGCTCTGAGATATAGTTTCCGCCCAAAAAACCACAGTCTCTGCTGAGAGAGTAGGCAGAGGTGGAGGAGAGTGGATATTCTTGCTGCTGTTGAGCATATGAGCAATTGAGATCTACAAAAAGGTTCAAAAAGCCCAAAAAAGTTCCTGGGAGACCAAGGAAGCAAATCAAAATTTGGAAATGTCGCTATGGCTTTTCTTTTTATTTCTCCCTCCTGCTTAAAAGATTAAAATTTGAAACCCTTCTTATTTCGCTTCAAAAGGTGAAAAAGGGATGTGTGCTGTCCAAACAGCTAAGAAAGCAAGGGCTGTGGAGCGTGTAATTCACCTGGGGCTCTCCCTGCTACAAGAAATGTAAATAATTAGTAGGATTAAACCCAGAACGATCGGCTCCACATGTGCAAGCTAAGCATGGTCTCCGTCCTGGCTGATGCTGGAAAGCAGGTCTGTGGCATGCTCGAGTCGGGTATTACAGGAGTGCATTGCTGAGGACTGGTGGCATCAGGTTTTGGAAGAGGTATCAAGTGTTGGGTGAATATTTGCATCCACTAGCAAAAAAGAGCCACTGGCTGACTCCACTTTCAGTGCTTGCAGCCTCCCTGGTATCCACTTTTATAACAAAACCCACTTTTTTGCTATTAGTCTCACATATTCCAACTGTTGGATTCTTTTACTTCCCATTGACCCTGACTCGTATTTCCAATTGCTGTGGTTTGTTTGGAGATTTTTGTTTTTATTTTAGTTCTTGCCACATTCAGATGCTTCTCTATGGTCTGTGACAAAGGGAGGTCTCCCCTGAAGGCTTGTTCCACAAGGAGAAGCAGAGCTTAAATCTGCAGACTTCAGCCCTCAGACTGAATTTTGATTTAAACTTATTGCTCAAAAGTGTTTAAAAAAATATCAGGCAACTTTCAATAGGGAAGCCTGGATTTCAGATTATCCTGCTTGTGGTGCAACTGAAAAAAAAAATAGTTCAATTCAGATCAACCCAAAACAGCTTTTATTTTGAGGGTCAGGGTAGTTTCTTTTTCAGCTGAGTGAAAAACAAAATTTCCAGCACAGCTGCAATATATCTTTTATATATATATATATGTATATATATGTATATATAATATATATTAAAGCTGTCAGTTACTTCTCAGGCTGTATAACCCTAAATCTATTTTTAGTGTTTTCATTCATCTTTTAAATCCAGGTCAAATTCAAAGAGAATACACTATTTCAGAAAAAAAAAAAAAAGAAAGAAAGAAAATCAAAGGAGTTTTTCTTCCTCAGGTGGAACAAATAAATCTTCTAACCTTTCTACACCTTTTTTCCTTTCCGGACAGAATTCACCTTCATGCAGCATGTGTGCAGTATTTCAGTGCCCCCCAGAACTGCAATGTGTATGGGAAATCAGCTACTCATCAAAAATATTTGCCCTGATTTGCTGTAAATGGAAAAGTTGCCCCTTCTCTTCTGAAAGACAATTCAGGGTAACTTGAGGCATTAGGTAGCCTCAACTCCTTGTTGTAACTTAATTCTAGTGAAATGCATGTGGCTCTGCATGACCTTAAAATCAGTCATTACAGTTTCTACAGTAAATAACTCTCAGGAGCATCCTCACTGCACCCACTTTTTGCTCTACTGGAGCTTGTTCATTTTTATTTTTGTCCTAAGTGACCCTGAAATTTTTATTAGTAGTAACTGAAAGTTTCCTCATGTCACTTACTGTCATTTGTTCTATCAGTTCAATATTTTCTGACTTTTTTTTTTTTTTTGGCTATATTTGTGCTTAAGAGATGAAGCCCTGAGGGGATCTGAGTTTGGTAGCTGTTGCTTCCATTTCATTTTGGGGAAGGAAAGACTGCACGCTAGTTTGCAGGAGCTGGTTTAAGGCAGCGTGGAAGTTTCATTATGAGACTCCCATGGCTGCATCAGAGCTATTTATTGCAGCCCTCCGACTTTCGTATCGAGGGGACCCATGTGATGTGGTTGGACTGAATGCAGGCAGAGGCCCTTCACCAACCTGGTCTTGCTCTCAGTGCTCATTAACTTTTTTCCTGTATGTGGGAATAAGGCTCATGCAAGGATTATGCCCAGTAATCCCAAACACTCATCCCTCCCCTCCTACGGAAGTGATGAGCAACTCCAGAAGCCAAGGCCAGGTCTTTGAGAAGAAGCATTACTTGGGTCTAAAGGGAGGCCATAGACTCACCCACTTGGAACTGACCATTCAGGTTGCTGACCAACCACTTCATAGTATGTTTGGAGAAAATAGATCTGCTTTAAGCCCTTACAGCATGGTAGGACATGGCCTTTTGTGTGGAAAAGTAGATAAAATAGATGAGAAGGCCCAGACCCTACTGGCTATAAATTAGTTTTTTCGGAAGCATGCTGCAGGTCTTCCTTCGCTAGGTAGACTGCAGATGGGCAAGGCTTGGTCTGCTTGTTGTCCTTGTTCACAGAAGCAAAGAGAGCTGTTTACTTACTTCTCTGCTTAAATCTGCCCAGCAAATAAACTAGCCGGATAGTACTTTATTCAGGTAACACCTAATGGTTGAGATTCTCCTCCTAGTTACACCCCTGTGGTTGCTCTGTGTTTTTGTGGCTTCCTCTTCTCAGTTATAATGAGGTAGACCATATTGAGCTGGCTTGCTTTCCTATTGCCTTCCTTCCTCTCTCTCTTCTTCCCTTCTTCCCTTCCTTTCGTCTTTCCTTCCTTCCTTCCTTCCTTTCCTTCCTTCTCTTTCTCTATTTCTTTCTCTTTTTTCATCTCTTCCTTTCTTTCTTTCTCTCTTCTTTTGCTCTTTCTCCTTCCTTCCCTCTTTCCTGCCTTTCTTTCTCCTCTTCTTTCCTCTCCTCTCACTCATCCTCACCCCTTTCTCTCCTTCTCCTTCTTCTCCTCATTCTCCCCCTCATTCTCCTTTTCCTTGTCTCTCTGTTTTCACTATCTCTGTTTCTGCCTGTCTGTCTTCCTACATCTCACATTCAAGGACTGTGAAAGTCTCAGTGTTCTGGAAGTTGGCACTTTATGGTATGTGATGCAATTCTTTTCTGTTTGTGTTTTCTCTCTCATCTCCCTGGGCTGACTCACCTGCAGTTTCGTTAACTGTTGTCCCACAACACGAATGCTATGGACACGTCCACCAAATCCAGTAACCTGTATATAAGGAAACAGTAGAAGAACTGCGTGTTGTAACACTGCGTAGCATTCATTTATAGTTTTCTTGGTTTGTTCTAAGTTGCTTTGATTTTGGTGGTCAGTAAACATTAAAAAAAAAAAGATTAAAGTTTGCACTTCTAATTCCAAAATAACTCCATTGAAGTTGATGGATTAAAACTTTGATAAGTAAAATCTTATCTGAAGCACATTGTTCATAAGCCACCACATCATAACAATTTTTGTCTTCAGTCTTATCATACTTGAGGGTTTGGCTTTTGAGGGTCCAGCTCTTGGTGTCATATGATTATTTGATAATCTCTCATCCTGTTAATTTTATGTTAGTTTTTAGTCCTTGTGGTCTTGGAGACCTTTTAGTCCTTATTTAGTCTTCATAGTTGTGGGAAAAAATATAATACATAGCTTAGAGATTTGATAACCAGACAGCACATAAAATGGCATGCCCAATGCAGGCATTAGGGAAGTCATAAAAAGTACTCTTATTTTTAAGACATTGTCGTGGCCGTTTGGGACATGAGTCATTCCTTTTGAATGCTTGTTGCAAATACTTTGCCCAAATACTTTGATCACAAGAAATTTTCTCTAGCTCTGGGATGCTCTCTTGAAGGATTCTCTTTATTCTTGAAGGAAAAAAAACAGTTTTCTTCCCAGCTCTTTGGAGAGAGCATGTTCCCTTCAGGAAGGTAGTACCGAGAGAGCCCAAATAAGGTCCCTGCCCCTCACCTGAGTGTCAGTACAACTTATCCCTGGGGGCCAATAACACTTGGACAGGCTTTGGACATCCTGAGAAAGACCACCTGAACCTGCACTACCCTTCACTTGTCCATCACATGGACATGCCTTGGATAGTCTGAGAATGAACACATGATCCTGCACTACCCTTTAGCCCAGCCTACTGTCTTTGGTATGAGCGGGTGGGTTTGGAGGTGGCCCAAGCCCAGATAGCCCCTAAGTTCTCTAACAAGCTGCAGGCATCCTGGAGCTGGCCATACGGGCAGGCAGAGCAGGCAGGACAGCCTGGAGTTGGCCTGTGTCACCCATATAAGTGAGAATGGGAACCAGCAACAGTCAGCGGTATGATTTACAAATCGCACCATTTGCCCTATGCATATTATTGCATGTTATTTGCATAATATGTGGACATTATGCTCATGTTTGAGAAGATGTGTTATTTAACAGGCACAAATCGTAAAACAAAGCCAACCTAAATACCTGGAAGTCACTATATTTCTCACCTTAATCTCTCCGCTTTGGAGTAATTGCAGGCCATTAAATATCACAATAACAGTGTCATCCTTTCCAGGCCAAGGAGGCTTTTTTAAAATTGATGTTTTCCCTCTAACCTCTCCTTCAGCCTGCAAAACAGAGATTACCTGGGTTTGCCCCGCCAGACTGCAGCTAGGATTAATCTTTGTACAATGTTTTCTAGCAGGGAAGGGCTGCACAAACACTAATTCCTCAGAGCTGCTCCCCTGCTGCAATTAGTCGCTGCGCGAGAGAGCCTCATGGGGCTTTATTTCCTCTTTATCTTTTAAAACCACCCCCCCCCAAAAAAAAAAAAAAAAAAAGAGTAGGAAAGACATGAATAAGCTGTGCCAATGTATCTGCTTCCACCAGTTTTTTATATTTAGTTTGCAAGCTCCTCAAGGCTGCATGGGCCGTGTTGCATAAGGGCACCCCATTCAAAGCCCGTCCCGGTGCCCTGGTGCCCATGCCAATGTTTGGCAGCCACCAAGCAGGATGATGTCCACATGCTAGCAACTGGGAATTTGGGGGTTTATGTTTTATTAATAAGAAGCTGACTGGAGAGCTTTCCTTCTCATCATTAGCTGTTTCCTTGCCACTCCAAGCAATTCATTTCGGGCAGTGTTGGCTGAATTTATAAATTCTGCAGGCTCCCCTTGTGATACTCATTAGGCATGTGAGGGTTACGATTTCTTGGCGATCACTGGTGATGTGACAATCCTAGAAAGCATTCCAAAGAGTTTATAAAAGCAAAAAAATCACGAGGTCCCTGGTCACTCTTGGTATATGTGCATGCACTGTGGTATGAGAAGGAGCAGGAAGCTTTTCCTCAGGAATCTGCCCAGACATAAGGAATGGAAATGAAAAAACTCATTTTTTTTTCTCTCTCTCTCTCTCTTTTTTTATCAAGAAGATGCCAAAATAGCTGTCAATAACAATGCAGCTAAAGAGCAGAATAGAAAATCAGTTGTGGCTCTGGTAGAGCTCTAGATGTGAAGTGAAATGTGTGAGTTATTTGTAGGGTTGAGAGGAGAGGACAGTTTATCTTCCCTTGGGATGATTAGGAAATTCCCCCTGGTCTTGATTCATGTCTTTTTTTCCTTTTAACAGTGCAATGGAAAGAGCTGGGCGTCGAGCACATATGCGTGCATATCCCCACCACATGGCACGCTGTCGACGTATGCTGCACCATGCGTCTCATTGATTTGTGCATTCAAAAATAATAATGATAATAATCAAATTGCCACTTTATTAAAAAAAAGTGGAAAAATAGTGTGGGAAAAAGAATTGACGTGTAATTGTGACACTTATCAAAATGAACTTTTTAAAGGTGTCAATAAACATTGTGCAATAAGGAGCTGGCAGCACATTGAGTCTACAGTTGTAAAAGTTCTCTGCTTTGGACTTAGCCATCCTCTTTGCCAGCTCTGCTCTGCTCTGCAGAAATTTTAAATATTAATTGGGTTTCATTGAAGATTAAGCTTGGGAAGTGCTGTCCAATCAGATAACCATGGAGGAAGTGGAAACAAAGCACTTTTAATAAATGAGTTAGGGACTGGTTTCTTATTGTGTGCACATTTAGTACTTTAGTACTTAGTACTTACTTTAGTACTTACTTACTTACTTACTTACTTTAGTACTTTAGTACTTTAGTTTTAGCACAGTAATATCCCCATCCTATTCAAGGTCTTTGAGGGAGTTTCTAGTGTATGCAATGATGTCCACTGTTCTGTGATCCCAGGGAAGTGGCGTCCTCTTTTCTCCCTGATGGCAGTTTGATAAGCTTGGTTTACTCCATATTAGTAACAGTACAACAGAGAGAAAATTCAGATCCCAGTTCTCTGTAAATGGAGGTGACAGTCCAGGGCAATGCTTCTTACCATTTTAATTCATCAAAAAGAAATGGGTAAATACTCTGGTTTCTTTCTCATAATGATATTATTATTATTATGGTTGAGAAAGCAATTTTACCTCAAAGGAGGTGCTCAGTATCTTAGAAGTTCTGAAAATTAACTTCATCTGATTTTTTCTCAGGGAGAATCAGTCCAAGAATAGGTTTATCTTTTCTAAACCAATTCTTTTCTTTAAAATGTCTTGGGCTATGTTTGGTACTTCTTTCATACATATATTTGCAAATATATATATATATATATATATATAAAGACAGTTAAAATCTGTTAAACTTTATGGAAAGAGCATGTGCATGTACATGTATGTGTCCAGATAACTCAAGTTTATTTTTAAAAAAGCTTGGGATTTTCTGAATTATAAGCCTGATCCTACAGCCTGTGACATGTATGAACGTCTCCATTTATTTTGAAGGCTGCAGCATTAGATCTTCTAACCTTAAGTATTCTTCATATATTCCAGTTAGTTCTGAAAATAAGATGGGTAAGTTGGATTTATAAAGAATTCTCCAGAGCTTAGATATGCAAGCATACTTGCATTCCACACGCAAACTTAGAAGAAGATAATCTTTTCAACTGAAGTAATTGAGCCCTTCACTGAATACTGACATACCTTTATGGTGGAAACTGAGGTACAAAGACCACACATGGCAGAGAAGATACTTGTG